TAAAATAGCATTCCCTTCCCTGTGGGCCCCCAGCCTACACATCTAGCAATTTTCTTGCCCGGCTGACTACCCATTCTTTCTTCCTGAAACAAAGTGTAGGCCCACACATAATCTGTCCTTACCAAATCAATGATTTAAATTGAACTGCACTTACTAGCCAGAAGCAGAGCCAAGATATACACTGTTCTAGCTCAGATAATACATAAATAGTGCTGCACTGTATGTTATAGAAAGATGACCATTAACTCAGTCAGCACTACAAAAATGTTGCATATAACAGATGTGCTGTTGACAATTTATTATTACACCTTGTAATGATTGCCACAGGTCAGAACAAGCATCTCCAAATGTTTAACCTAGAAACTCATTTGAATGCTATGGATCCCTGTGGAGTGGGAAAAGAAAAAAAACATTCCTCCCCAGACTGAAGGTCAGCAGTCACTACGGGGCATGTTAATCAGTTATAAAAGTTAGGGCAATTTCCAAAACCCACAAAATATGTTCGTCCTGCAATATCCAAACATGCAGAAGCCTGTAGATGACTTCTAAGTGATTCACAATTGATGATAAAGTAAGCACACCTTGCTACAGAGAAATTCATGTTCCTGACATTCCTGAAGAGGCCTGAACCTCCACTAGAAAACATAGAGGCTTACCAACAAAAACAAGGTTGAAAATCACTGTATCACAGCAGGGTAGGTAGGAGAGTTATGAATCTTCTGTCTCTACCTTTCCCCCTAACTCCCTGCAGCCTCTGAAGCATCTGAAGCAACACCATGCTGCAGATAGCTAAGCAAGCTCTGCTAGTCATGGACTTCCCTGGTACAACACAACTGCACCACCTCCACTGGGAGAGATTTCTGCAGCTACAAGACTTAATTTTTAATGTATGAAGTTGGATTGTGCAAATATGAGTATATGTACATTCTTAATGAAGTGAAAGATCTTCTCCAAAATAATTTAGAGAACTGATCTTTCCCATAAACATGCTTGTTCTTACACAGTAAAAAAATAAAATCAAACGAGTGGGAGAAATGCTCACCATCTTGGATTTTGATTCTGCTTTGCAGTGGTGGTTTGTTTTATTTTAAAACCAGCTCCTTCTCTGAACTTCTCTCTTGAAGGAGCTGGAGGCGAACTTAAAGGCAAGCTTAAACTTTTTGTTTACATTTCTTCCACATAATCAATACTTTTTCACTCCAAGTCCAGAAGTAGCATCAGAAAAAAAAAAAAAAAAAAAAAACACCAAAAGATTCTCATCGTGCAATTAATCAGCACAAACGTGGAAGTTTCTGTAACATGCTATTAGGCATCATCAAAAATTTTATTTTAACAGTGAAATTACCACTATTTCAGTTTTTCTCTACACCTTTGAAAGAAAATTGTGCTTTTATTGTCTGGTAGCGAGAACAGACCTTCAAGTGTAAAAAACCAGCAATGTTTACATAAAGACTGGCATGTTATAGGGACAACCAGGCTCCATCCAAGCTTCCTCCATGCCACTTTGGCAATAAACTGTGCTCCTGAAACACAACCCACTCAACTAATTCCATCCAGGCTTGTGACTCCTCACAGATTCTCTAATGCACCTCAGTCTTGATCTGCAACATCTAGGTAACCTGAAAGAATCCTCTCTGCACCGGACATTGTAACAGTCTGCTAAGGTGCTATTTTCCACAATTACATAAGAAACTGAGCACATATGATCACAGGAATCTGAAATATCACAGGATCTGAAGTATCACAATACATCACAATATATTGCAGTTTATTGTACCAACATGCAAGGCCTGCCCCTTCCTCTGAGGTCATTTTCAGAAAGGAAAACAAAACTCAGAGTATGTGGGAAGATTTAAACTCTGAAACAGCTTCTTTATACACTTAGACAAGCCGAGAGAATTTTTAAAATACAAATGCACAACCTTCATAACACTGTGACACTTTTCTGCAAGGAGAAACACAGCCAGAAAAACTGTTTTCTCACTTAAGCAGTACAACAGATGTACAAGGTGCATCTTTTTTTTCCCCTCTTATTCACATCCAGGTGTATCAAAAGCCTAACTCAGAACATTTTCTCTTGGACAGAAACTACCTCACTCTGCAAAGCAATAAAAAAAAATAAATCCTTCCAGCTAGTGACCAAGCATGGTGCCTCTAAAGAAGAGAATTTCCATCCTCAGTGTCTTCAAGAAGCAAATTAATCTCCTTAGCGTTTTAAGCAAATTTCTGCACTTGCAGAGCCTGATTTTCAGAAGTGCTGCACGCGTTCATATCGCATGCCATGGATATCCCTGGCTTCTGTGTGTGATCAGCACTTCTAGGATCAGGTTCTTGGTTTACCTGCTAAGTACTCTATGACGGCTGCCATGTAAACTGGTGCTCCAACACCTATCCGGTACTTGTAAGTTCCTTTCTTTAAGTAGCGCATCATTCTCCCCACAGGGAAAATAACGCCTGCCCTGCTTGAGCGTGAGAGTTTGGACATTTTCTTCTTCCCACTTCGGCCTGACATCTTGCAGCTTTGTGCTTTTCAATTTGCTGGTGATTCTTAATCCCTTGCTCCAGTCCAAAAGCTGCAAGAGAAAAGAAACAGGATTGGTGTTCAGCATGTGGAAAACATCTCTACACATTATCTTGTTCTTCCAGAAGAAAAAATCCAAACCCATTCTCAATACCTGTTAAAGATGAAGCATTATTCATTACTCATAATCATTCCATTCATTGGAACATTTGCTATAACTTTTGAGTACTGCACTATCAGTGTAGCAATATCACAGAAAAAAAGTGGTTTGGAGAATATAAAAAAAAAAATTAAAAATCAAATGCACATTAAATGAATCTTTAAAAACAAAACCAAATCACACCAAGGCAGATGCCTGCAGCAATCAGCATTCCATGCTGATTGTTAAGTTTAGCAAGTTATAAAGAGCTGAGAAGTACTGGCATAATGGACAGAATTAAACAAGCTGAAAGCAGATACTGGTGCCACCTGTAAGTAGAGGAAGTCATACTGCTGCACAAGAAACAATGAAACCTACCTACAAACACAATGCTTCTTCACGGGTCTTTTATAGGGGGAATTTCACATGCATGGCTGAAGAGAAGAAGCAGGCAAGCAGCTAAGCTTCAAGCACCACCCCCTCCTGCTAGCTCTGGCCTCAGGAACTGAGCCTCGGGGGCCAGCTCACAGGCTTCACCGTTTTCATAATTCTTTCCGGACTACCCTCAGAGCAGCTCCTGGGAGCCTCCAGAAGCCTTCCTCCACAAAGCTAGGAGGAGGTCTTCAATCTCTCACCATAAAAGGACTGGCTACCTGATTTTTCTGTCCATCATCCTCCCTGAAGATGCGTTTATTCCCCTGCATTAAGGGCCAATCTAGTCTATACATCACAGCAAATAAAACAAATCTCATTTTCTCCTTGTTTTTCTTGCAACCACGAGATTGCAGGTAAATGGACAAAAACCTTGGGTTCAGCCATTCCACTTCAAAGAGTGCAGGTGGTCATAGCATTCTCACTCTCAGTCAAATAATCAGGAAGCTTTAACTCTGTTTACAAAAATTGTTTCAAACTCTGTTTTTATAGCTGCCCTCATGGCCTAATTATGATCCTGGTTACTCCTCTGAAGTAACTGAGGAGCACATCTGCCACAGATGGTACTTCTGTCGATGAACAGCTACTTAAATTCCCAGAGTTCATTCACCTCAATGAAACAAGGAAACAAAAGGAGGGAGATAATTTGAAAAATATTATGATGACTTTAGGTGATACTGTTAAATTTTACCACAATCTGCATTTTAAATAGCCTTTAAAAAAAAAAAAGTAATTTGACACTACTGCAAGCCCTTGGGAACAATCAACATTCATCCGGGGAGGGAACTGAAATCTGTGTTTTGTTCTTATCCTGCTTATAACAAACCAAGTGCGGATACAAAGAGGGTCACCTGTCCCATACGAAGCCAGACATTCAGAGAAACCAGCGCATCTGTAAGAGCCGAAGTCAAAAGTTGTTTTCTATGATAACTTAACTTGAACGCTGGTTTCACTTATGATATCAAGGAAATAAAATCACCCCAGGGTCTGCAAGGATCTATAAAACCCTGGTATGTTCTTGTCTATCAGCCAGAATTTTTTTCTTTCTGTGCGTGATATATTATGGGGGCATGACAGCAAAAGTTGGGAATGATTAAACCAGTAAACCTATCAGACATGGGCACCTCAAAATTGATGTTGCTCATCATCCCACTCCAAGTTCCCTGCAAACTGCCAGCCCAAAATCACAAGTGGTAGTAAAAGAGCTCATAAACTGCTTCTTGCAAGTGCAGATTAAAGGCAATGGCCACTTCAAACAGACACAAGTGGGAAAAAAATCTCATTAATTGCACTGATTCAGGAGTAGCCAGTTGTGCAGGGCAGGGAAAAACTGCCAAGCAGCAGCTCCACTGATTAGGGCCAGCAGGTTACAGTGGAGGGAAAAAAAAGAGCTGTTGTGAAAAGGCAAACCTTGCATCAAGGTTCATAAACAAGAGGACATCCACTGCGGAGCTGAGGAGCTGTGTCCAGCGGCAGATACCGTGCTTCAGGCGTGCAGAGAAACGAGAATCCTGACGAGGGTGATAAGAATGATGGGACGTCTGACCCAAACTAAAAGGGAAGGGTGAAAAGAAGGCGGAGCCATGGCAATGGTCTTTAGAGATGTAAAAGGCTGCGTTGAAGGTGGAGCGAGTAAGCATCTCCTATATAAGCAACAGAAAAGCAGGACTCCTACAAAAGCTGTGCAGCAGGGAGGAGAGCAGAGCACTGGACTCAGTTAGATGGAGAAGTGGCAGAATCTTCCCTCCAGAACAACTTTAAAACGGCTACAGAATGTATTCAGAAATGGCACAGGCAGCATTGGATCTGCTGTGGGACAGGAGGCTGGATGAGGTGATCTCTTGATGTCCCCTCCTCCCGCCCTCTTGCTCAATGAAACATGTGATTTGTGACAAAGTCTTTATAAACTTTCAATTCCGTATTATGCTACTGATTAACCTTTATAAAGTATCTTTTTCAGTTTGTGATAACTGACATTCAAATTAATGAATAAACGTAGGCTGGGAATTAGGTTTCTAGCCATCAGATGAGCAAACTTCTGGAACAGCCTACTCTTATGAGCAATAACTCATTTTAAGGTGGAACTTAATAAATGTACGTGCTAGGCTATGATCTGGTTCCTGCTATATTGGCAGGACAGTTTCATCACCGGAGTTCAGTCCTGCGCTGAAATCCCTACAGAGAGCCATGCTGAAAGAGTAGACTACAAACAACCATGGATCAAAATCATATTAAGCTAACCTCTCATATATTTGCTCTCATAATATACCAAATCCCAACTCTGTGTAAATCAATGAAAAAAAGCAAACGTCATGAGATTATATCCACAGAAAATACTGTGCTTGCACTTCATCTCACAGAAAATCAAAATTTGTAAAACTGAACACACTGCTCTGGGACATGTTCTTGCATTATATAAATTTCTGTTTAACTAATCACTTGTGGCTCATTTTTCTGTTGCCTCACTGAACTTTCCACCCCTGTCTACCCCTCTTCATTTCTCCCTATACTCTCACAGCAAGTCTCAGCCATTTTTTCCCCTGCTGACAAGGCTTAACCTTTGGAATCCCAAAATATTTTTCCAAATAGACTGCAGGTAATAGATCAGGTATGTTTGCAGAATCTTGTGAGAGCCTAAATACAAGAGGGGTTTCAAAACTCTGCTAACCCTAAATACAAGACAGGTTTCAAAGAGCATGAATACAAGAGAGGTTTCAAAACTCTGCTAACCCTCTTTCTCTTCTCTTTATACTGGAGAGAGACATACACAACAGTTACGTTCTTGTGTTGTCTTCTATCCTATGGGAAGCAATTCTTGGTAGAAGGCCAAGCTACGGCATCTACTAGAATACAACTCCCACAGACCTGGATGAAGAAACATGGTATGCAGGGTCCACAAACTATCTACAGCAAGCACTTTGGAGGGCGGATCCCAAGGGAATGGTTCACAGGCTCAGGTGACTGGCAGTCCTTGGGATCTTGAACCTCTCTTGCACAGGAGAGCTGTGCCTGATCTGCAGCGAGGCCCCAGGGGTTTGTGCCCTGGCTCGTTCCTCCCACAGACAGGGGTTTGGTTTCCTTGGAGGATGCATACCAGCTCAGCCCTGACACGGTTACATGACACCCTTACCTGAACTGCTCCAAAGCTGCAAACAGCTGAAGAGCTAGGAGTTGAGCACTGCTGTCCTAATTGATCTCTTTGGATGATACAGCTAAGCATCCAGGGCTCATCAGTTGAAAATTACTTTAGCCTACCCACATCAGTTCTGTCACTGCCAGCTGATTCATCGTCTCTACATTTGCTCTTATAAACTACAGTCTCTATGACACAGCTCTGTCATTTATGCAAAGTCCATCCTGAGTTAGAGCAACTGCATCTATATCTGGTTACCAGGACATCATGAGGCTTGGGCCAATTTAAAGCAATCAATATTTCCAATCCCTTAATCGGTCACAGCACACTCCTACTCTGCCACAACTCCAACATCCTTGTGTTGCTACGGGGGATTTAGTAGCTAACAGATCTCCCAGAGCTCTCTACAATATGATGAAAATAGGGTCGACTTTTGCAAGCTCGGCCTTCCTCTGTGAATTAAATCTTCAGAGCCCAAAACAACCAGCAATATTTCCCTGGAAAAAAGAGCTCTACCTCCTTGCCACTCTCAGGTCAGTCTGCTGGCCATTTGGAGGGTCCCTCCGCCACAGACACCACCTCCCCATTTTCTTCCACCCTGGTTATCTGCAGAGAGTGATGGCTGCTGCACAAGGACACTGGAACAACAGATCGCCTTGGGACATTCCTCTCACTATCATGCAATTTGCGTCCCACACCACATCCCGATGGATCAAGGTTTAGCAAAGCAACCTTAAAATCACTTTCCAGTCCTTCCTACACAGATGCTCAGAAGAACAAAATCTCATCATTATCTTTAGGTGGTAAGGATGCACATAATTTTTAGAAAAGTAAGAACAACTTGCAGACACAGAAACATACTGCGACCTCCAAGTGAGCTTGAAAAGCTGGCTAGGAAGCAGTTTCAGAGATTAACATATCAAGATCTGGCAAGAAAGCAGGGATGCACATCAGAAAGTTCAACTAAGATACATCAAATCTATTTTTTTCTGTAAGAAAAATCACAGAAAACAGTAAAAGAAAAGAAAGCTTAGTTTGCACAACAAATCACCAAAACTTTTGCAACACTGGTGGAGACAAGTAAATTTTGGCTGTTGCGCTTCATATCCCAGATCATACATAAGACAGAGGCAAGCTAATAGCTACACCAAAAATGAAACACACACTAGCACCTAGTTCTCACTAAATATCTGTGCAATGATTGGTAAATTCCGAGTCAGATTAAGTCAGCTGGCATTGCATCTTATCCGTCTGGACTTTACAGATGGCTACAACATCCTCTGGGAGACTAAAGTTTAGCACAGAGTGCCAAGTGTCCTCCCCTGGACAAGAGGTTCAGAAGCAGATATTA